GAGATGGCAGAAATATGAGAACACGTTCAACATTAAGCATTCAGGAAATGTGAATTAACACTACCAGAAGCTAGCACTACACACACATTGAGGCAGCTAAAATAAATACCAAATCCTGGTGAGGATGCAAAGGAACTGGATCTCTCAGATACTGCTAGAGGAAATGTAAAATGGTACAGACACTCAAGAAAAATGTTTGGCAATTACTTACAAAACTAAACAGAACTATTTACAAAAGACTACATATTGTATGATTCCATTTGTACATGGGATTTTGTTATGTGCAGAGTAACCAAATACATACCGACAAAGTAGATTAGTGGTTGCCTAGGGCTAAGTGTGGATGGGGAGATAGGGATGCACGCTAATAAGGTATGGCAAAAAAAAAAGAGCAAAACTCTTGGGAGTTTTGAAAATGTTCTAAAATGTGATTATAGTGATGGTTGCACAACTCTGAATATACTAAAAGTCACTGAATTATACACTTTATTTTTTTATCTTTTTTTTTTTTTTGACACAGGTTCTCGTTCTGTTACTCAGGCTGGAGTACAGTGGTATGATCTTGACTCACTGTATCCTATGTCTCCGGACTTAAGCGATCCTCCCACCTCAGCCTCCCATGTAGCTGGGTCTACAGGCACATGCCATCACACTCAGCTAATTTTTAAAAAACATTTTTTAGAGACAAGGTCTCACTGTATTGCCCAGGCTGGCCTCAAACTCCTAGGCCCAAGTGATCCTCCTGCCCCAGCCTCCCACATTCCACCTGAATTGTACACTTTAAATAGATGAATTGTATGGTATATGAATTAGATCTCAATAAGGATGTTCTAAAATTTGCACATTTCACTTCAATAGGCATTTCAAAAACAAACTACATGATTGCAAAGAGAACCCTGACTTTTCTGGCCACAGTAAACCGCATAGTACAGGGATTCAGTTCTTCATTTGATAAAACTCTCTTTTAATTTATCATCATGAAATAAATTTTTTGATGTCCTCAAAATAAACACACTCTAACCATAAAATCCAACATCATACTCTTGAGCATTTATCCAGAGAAATGAAAATGAATATTCCTATACATTATACAGGAATGTTCACATTATACAGCTCTATTTGTAATTGCTTAAAATTGGAAACAGCCCAAATGTTTTAGGGGGTGAATGGTTAAGTAAAGTGTGGCCATACTATGGATTACTACTCAGCAATAAAAAGAAATGAATTATTGATACACAGAACATCCTGGGTAAATTTTAAACCATGCTGAGTGAAAAATGACAATCTCAAGTTGTGTAATGTATGATTCCATTTATCTAAAATTCTTGAAGTGACAAAATTATTGAAATGGAGAACAAATTCATGCTCTCCAGGGGTTAGGAATGGAGGGTGAGGTGGGAGAGGATGGGAATGACTTTAAAAAGGTAGTACAACTCATCTCTGTAGTGCTGGTATATTCTGTCTCTTATCCAAGGAAGTGTTTTCATGAATCTACAGTGATAGCATTATCTAGAACTATACACATGTGCATACATGTGCAAATAAATGTGTGTAAAACTGTTGAACTAAATGAGCTCTGTGGATTGTACTGTTCATTTCCTGGTTTGACATTGTATTGTAGTTATATAAGTTGTTACCATTGTGGAAAAATAGGTGGAAAGATACATGGGATGGACCTCCATTATTTTTGCAACTTCCTGTGAATCTGTGATTATTTCAGAGTAGAAAGCTTAGGAATGAGAATTGGTGTAGAAAGTAGAAATATTTATGTCCAAATTATCAGATTCCTTTCCAAAAGATTATGCCAATTTAAATTGTTATCTAAATTAGATAGTATACCAATATCACTACATTCTCATCAGCATTAAGTATGTCCATTATTTCGACGTATTTGTTTTGTCTGTGAATTTTTAAATTTTTATTTTTTAGAATATGTGTATTTTTAAAAAATGTTTTATTTTTATTTTAAATTTTAGATTCAGGGCATACATGTGCAGGTTTTTCACATGGGTATATTGGGTGATGCTGGAGTTTGGGTTTCTAGTGAACCCATCACCCAATATTGAACATAGTATCTGATAGGTAGTTTTTTCAATCCTTCCCCTACTCTTTCCTGCTCCTCTTTTGGAGTCCCTGGTATCTATTATTTCTGTCTTTATGTCCACCTGTACCCATTGTTTAGCACCCATCTACAAGTGAGAGCACGTGGTATTTGGTTTTCTGTTTCTCTTTTATTTCACGAAGGATAATAGCCTCTAGCTGCATCCATGTTGCTGCAAAGGACATGATTTCACTTTTTTTTATGGCTGTGTACTAATCCATGGTGTATATGTACCACATTTTCTTTATCCAGCCCATCTTTGATAGGACACTTATGTTGATTCCATGGCTTTACTATTGTGAATAGTCCTGCAATAAACAGACTAGTACAGGGGTCTTTTTGTTTTCCATAGGATTAACTAACTTACATTCATACCAGCAGTGTATAAGCATTCCCTTTTCTCATATCCTTGCCCACATCTGTTATTTTTTGACTTTTTTTTTTTTTTTTTGAGACAGAGTCTTGCTCTGTCGCCCAGGCTAGAGAGCAATGGCACAATATCAGCTCACTGCAAGCTCCACCTCCCGGGTTCACGCCATTCTTTTGCCTCAGCCTCCCGAGTAGCTGGGACTACAGGCCCCTGCCACCAACCTGACTAATTTTTTTGTATTTGTAGTAGAGACGGATTTCACCGTGTTAGCTAGGATGGTTTTGATCTCCTGATCTCGTGATCTGCCCGCCTGGGCCTCCCAAAGTGCTGGGATTACAGGCCTGAGCCATCGTGCCCGGCCTATTTATTGACTTTTTAATAATAGCCATTCCGACTGGTGTGAGATGGCATCTCATTGTGATTTTAATTTGCACTTCTCTGATAATTAGTGATGCTGAGCATTTTTTCATGTTTCTTGGCACTTGTGTGCCTTATTTTGATCATGTACTCTGCCCACTTTTTAATGCGATTCTTTTTTTCTTGTTGATTTAATTTTCTTATAGATTCTGTATATTAGTCTTTTGTTGGATGCATAGTTTGCAAATATTTTTTCCGATTCTGTAGGTTGTCTATTTACTTTGTTGATTGTTGTTTTTGCTGTGCAGAGCTTTACCATTGGTCAATTTTTTATTTTGTTGCAATTACTTTTGAGGTCTGAGTCATAAATTATTTGCCTAAGCCAATGTCCAAAAGAGTTTTTCTTATATTTTCTCCTAGAGTTTTTATAGTTTGAGGTATTACATTTCAGTCTTTAATACGTCTTGAGTTAATTTTTGTATCTGGTAAGAGGTAGGCGTCCAGTTTTACTCTTCTGCAAATGGCTAGCTAGTTTTCTCAGCACCATATATTGGATAGAATATCCTTTCCCCATTATTTATTTTTGTTGACTTGGTCGAAGACCAGTTGATTGTATGTGTGTGGCTTTATTTCTGGGTTTTCTATTGTATTCCATTATGTATCTTTTTTTTTTTTAACCTGTACCATGCTGTTTTGGTTATTATAACCTTGTAGTATAGTTTGAAGTCAAGTAATGGGATGCTTCTGGCTTTCTTCTTTTTGCTTAGAATTGCTTTGGCTATTCATTCTCTTTGGTTCCATATGAATTTTAGAATTTTTTTTTAATTCTGTGAAAAATGATGTTTGTAATTTGTTAGGTATTGTATCAGATCTGTAGATTGCTTTGGGCAGTATGATCTACTCTTATGTTGACCATCTGTTTCTCATACTGAGTATATATAAGCTAGCCAAAATACGATACATGATTTATATGCCATAATTTGTTTGATGTATATATAAATAAAACTATTCAGAAGAAATTGGCTTTATATGTTTTAGGGAGACATAAGACATCAATCAGTACATGTAAGGTATATAATGGTTTGGTCCAGAAAGGCAGGACAACTGAAAGTGGAGGGCTTCCTGGTCATAGGTAGAGTCAAAATTTTTTTTGATTGGCAGTTGGTTGAAAGAGTTAAGTTATTATCTTGGAATCAATGGAAAGGAGTGTCTGGATTAAGATAAGGGGTTCTGGAGACCAAGGTTCTTATTATTCTGTAGATGAAGCCTGCAGGCAGCAGGCTTCAGCGAGAAGCGATGCTAAATGCCTCTATCAGACTGAAAAAGGTGCCAGACTCTTAATCTCTCCTGGGTCCGGAGAAGACCTGGAAAGAGAAGGGGCTTCTCTATAGTATGTAGATTTTCTCCACAGGAGACAACTTTTCAGGGCCATTTCAAAATATGTCAAAAGGTCGGGTACAGTGGCTCACACCTATAATCCCAGCACTTTGGGAGGCTGAGGCATGCAGATCACGAGGTCAGCAGATCAAGACCATCCTGGCTAACATGGTGAAATCCCATCTCTACTAAAAATACAAAAAAGTAGCCGGACGTGGTGGCGGGCGCCTGTAGTTCCAGCTACTGGGGAGGCTGAGGCAGGAGAATGGCGTGAACCCGGGAGGCGGAGCTTACAGTGAGCCAAGATTGGGCCACTGCACTCCAGCCTGGGCGACAGAGCGAGACTCTGTCTCAAAAAAAAAAAAAAAAAATCACAAAATATATTTGGGGATATTGGGGATAAAATACTTCAACTTCTTTTGGGGCCTGTTATCTGTTGTGTGTGCTATACTAGAGTCAGATTGGAATTTGATATCTTATTGTTACAAAGAGTCTGTTTTGTCACTCTTTAGATCTCTATTTTAATGTTAATACTGGTCAGTGTGTCTGAATTCCAAAGGAAGGAGAGTATAATGAGATATGTCCTTCCACCGTGGCCTGGTTTTTCAGGTTTACTTGGCCTCAGAAGAGGGATTTATTCAGTTGGCTGGGGGGCTTAGAATTTCATTTTTGGTTTACTTGTATAAAATTCACTTCAGTTTGGATCCTTGGTGTTAAACAAAATTTTAAAAAAATCATTTCTGGATGGGAAGGGGAAACAAAATCTGCACAGAACATTTATTTCTTGATCTGCAGGTTATAAACAACTTGTGAAATGAGTGATTTGGAAGATGACGAGACACCCCAGCTTTCTGCCCACGCCTTAGCAGCTCTCCAGGAATTTTATGCTGAGCAAAAACAACAAATTGACCTAGGCGAGGATGATAAATATAACATTGGAATAATAGAAGAGAATTGGGTAAGTAAATGGCATTTCGCAGCCATCAGGAAGTATTGATGTGAAACCTACTCTGTGCATTAGTCCAGTGTTTTTCTCACCTAAAACCGGAATCTCTGTCACCTGTCATTTGGGATCTGAACCTCTCTATGGGGAGCTAAGACAGAAAGCAGTTAGTGAACATTTTAGAACAGTGTAACAGCTTTCTTGAACAGCTGTTCTTGATTCTGACTATCAGGCTGGTTGGTGATCAGAAGATGGGGTTTTTCAGATAAGGAGATAATGATACAGGATTTTTCTGCTTGGTCACTTTGCAAGGTGGGGACCCTCAGCTGGCAGTACCCCACCCAGGCCTTGCTTGGCCATGCTGGTGTGCCCCAGCTTGGCTGTGTTATAGCTCGTACCCACATTCAGCGGTTCCCAAGCTCTTGTACTACATCTCTTCCCCTTCTGATCATATCCAGAAGACATACATAGCATCGGAGGTACTCACCTCCAGGCTGAATCCCTGAGGATTTTTCACTAAACAAACTGGAGAGTCTGCTTTGGGATGCCCTAATTTGGGTAGGAAAGCCAGAAAGAGACACAGAATCTAAGATAACTCCAGAGCTCCACCATAGCATAGAAAGAAGGAAAAAGTCAGCTCCATTCAGGAAGGAAGTACACAAAAGTCCTCCATACTCTGAGTAAAGCTCTCCTTATTTAAGCAGATCTCAGTTTTGTTGAGATATAATTCACATACTATAAATTCACCTTTTAAAAGTAGAGAAGTCAGTGGTTTTGTTTGTTTGTTTTTGAGATGGAGTCTCACTCTGTCTCCCAGGCTGGAGTGCAATGGTGCAATCTTGGCTTACTGCAAGTAATCCGCCTCCTGGGTTCAAGCGATTCTCCTGCCTCAGTCTCCTGAGTAGCTGGGATTACAGGAACGTGCCTCCATGCCCGGCTAATATTTTGTATTTTTAGTAGAAGCAGGGTTTCACCATGTTGACTAGGCTGGCTCGAACTCCTGGTCTCAGGTGATCCACCCGCCTTGGCCTCCCAAAGTGCTGGGATTACAGGTGTGAGCCACCACACCCGGCAAGTCAATGGTTTTTAGTAAATTCACAGATAGGTCCAACTATCACCACAGTCAATTTTGGAATATTTTCTTTGCCTCTAAAAGACACCCTATGTCCTTCAGCTGTCACCTCCTAATTCCCCAGTTCTCCCAACGCCTGGCAACCACTAATCCACTTTCTGTCTCTGTAGACTTGCTACTTTGGACATTTCATATAAATGGAATCACACAGTATGTGGCCTTTTGTGTCTGATTTCTTTCGTTCAGTGTAATGTTTCCAACGCTCATCCATGTAGCGTATATCAGTACCCTGTTCCTTTTTATGGCCAAGTAGTAGTTCATTGTATGGATGTACCACATTTTTTCTGTCCGTCCATCAGTTGATGGGCATTTGAGTTGTTTCCACACAGGGCAGATTTTTAAAGCAGAGAACCCCCAGTTGGCATGCCCCATGCAACTAGTTGCCCCCAGCCTGCCATTCAGGGAAGAGAGAGGCCTGTTGGAGAAATAGGTTTGTATGATTGCAGAGGAAAACCATGCTACTTCTTCCATTAAACTCCTGCTTAATTTATAACTATGAATAGATAATTAAAGATCACTAAAATTTTTCTAAAATCATCAATCAGCATGAAACAGAAGGAGCAAGATGAAAAACAAACTTGCCCCCAAGGGAAAAACAAGTAATTCAGGAAACATGCATAAGGTAAGATGAGGCTGTGGGCAAGGAGCACAGTCTGGATTTTGCTGATTGTATTCTCTGGTGTTAGTGAACTCATTCTTCCATCCTCTGTGTTTGTAATTCTTTTCATTGCTAGTTGAACCTAGAAGCTTAGATTCAAGTTCTATTTTCTTTTTTTGGCAAAACTCATACAAAGGTAGGGGTATGTTCTATCGGGAGAAACACTGGTTGTCTCCTTTTGTGGTGTTAATAGCCATTGATACTCAATGCCTGGATTCCATTCATTCATTAAGGGCTTGTATTAATTTAAAGTAATTTCAAAGAAAAATTAATTTTCAAAAGAAAAAAATTTTAAAACTATCTGTCCACTGGTATAGTAGATACAAATTAAAAGAACAAAGCTTATGCCAGTTCTAAAATGTTATCAACCCATTTCTCTGTTACAGCAGTTGAGCCAGTTTTGGTATAGTCAGGAAACTGCTCTGCGACTTGCACAGGAGGCAATTGCAGCTGTAGGAGAAGGTGGCAGGTGAGATTCAAATTTTGTTTCTCTTTTTGGCTTCTAATCTAATGGAATATTTTGAATGTCCTTTCTGGATGACAGATGGTTTGTAAGAAGTCTGAACTATAATCTGCAAATATTGTAGATCATGGTTTGCAGCACATGACAGATTAAGACCTGCTTCAACACTGGGTTTAGAGACCCACTCAGAAACCTATTCATTGTGGAAGGTCTTATCTCTTTTCCTTTTAACATTTTATAACCTGTTTCTTATCCTTATAGAGTTCAGTTCAAAAGAAAAAATCTTAATGTTTGACCATTTTGAAGTTTTAAGAATATAGGTTTTCTTTTTCGTTAATTTGGTATGTATGTATGTATTTATTAATTATTTATCTTGAGATGGAGTCTCGCTCTGTCGCCCAAGCTGGAGTGCAGTGGTGCGATCTTGGCTCACTGCAACCTCCGCCTCCCGGATTCAAGCGATCTCTTGCCTCAGCCTCCAAGCAGCTGGGACTACAGGCACCTGCCACCACGCCCAGCTAATTTTTGTATTTCTAGTAGAGACGGGGTTTCACCATATTGACCAGGCTGGTCTCGAACTCCTGACCTTGTGATCCATTTGCCTTGGCCTCCCAAAGTGCTGGGATTACAGGCGTGAGCCTCCACGCCCAGCCTGGTTTTTACTTTTATCAGAACTTTGCATGCATATAAAGAGTCAAATGGTGACTGGGCGTGGTGGCTCATGCCTGAAATCCCAGCACTTTGGGAGGCTAAGGCAGGCAGATCACCTGAGTTTAGGAGTTTGAGACCAGCCTGGCCAACATGGTGAAACCCTGTCTCTACTAAATACAAAATTAGCTGGGCGTGGTGGTGCATCCTGTAATCCCAGCTACTCAGGAGCCTGAGGCAGGAGAATTGCTTGAACCTGGGAGGCAGAGGTTGCAGTGTGCCAAGATCACACCACCGCACTCCAGCCTGAGAGACAGAGTAAGACTCTGTCTCAAAAAAAAAAAAAAGAAGCCAAAGGGTTCTAAAAGGCTTAATGTATTCTATATCCATATCCCTTATTAACCCCCGAACTCTCTGTCTAAATATCCTATCAGTAAGTTCAAACATATTTCAACTTCTTTAAAAAAAACCTGTTCCCAGGGCTCTGCCACCTGTCCCAGTCTGCATGGTCTCACGCTGGTTTTGCTCCACCTCTTTTCTTGGTATCTCCCTTCATCATCATGCTGGAGTCCTTATACCTGTCTTTCCTTCTAGATTCCCTATTTCCCGTACCCCATCCTAAGTTTACAGCCTTATCATGGTGGCGTACCTCCTCCGATAGCTGCTACAGAAAAGGCACGTAGGAGGGGAGTTTTTAGAACCTTTCATGTCTGAAAATGCTGTTTTCCTACCCTTCCTCTTGATTGTGATGGTTTTGTTGGACAGCACATTCCAGGTTTTGAAGGCGTTGCTCCATTGTCTCCAAACTTCCATACATGCTGTTGAGAAATCCAGTAGCATTCTGATTTCTTATAGGAAACTTGCTTTTTTCTATCCATCCCCAGTATTCAATGTGCCTCACTGTGGAGTTTTTATCTGTTGTCCTGGGTACTGGAGCGCCTTTCATCCTCAACACACATGTCCTTCCGTTTAAGAAATTATCTTACATTATTTTTTTGATTTCTTTCTCCACTTTTTTTTTCTGTTCCTCTTTTTGGAACTTCTTTGAATACTGTACCTGATCTTTTAATTTTCTTCTTTTTCTATTTATTGTCTCTTTACTTTCTGGGAGAATTCCTCAACTTTATCTTCTAAACTTTCTACTGAGTTTACCATACCTGCTACCATGCTTGGAATTGTCTGCAGCTCTGTTTTTTTGGTCTTTGGGTATTTCTTTATTATTGTGTCTTGTTCATCCTTCTGAGGATATTACAGCATTTTTTTTTTTTTTTTTTTTTTTGAGACGGAGTCTCGCTTTGTCGCCCAGGCTGGAGTGCAGTGGCCGGATCTCAGCTCACTGCAAGCTCCGCCTCCCGGGTTTACGCCATTCTCCTGCCTCAGCCTCCCGAGTAGCTGGGACTACAGGCGCCCACCACCTCGCCCGGCTAGTTTTTTGTATTTTTAGTAGAGACGGGGTTTCACCATATTAGCCAGGATGGTCTCGATCTCCTGACGTGATCCGCCCGTCTCGGCCTCCCAAAGTGCTGGGATTACAGGCTTGAGCCACCGCGCCCGGCCCAGAATTTTTTAAAGTTCTCTTTTCCCTCTATAGTCTCTGTTTACCTCAAAATGCTTTTTCTGTTTGTTAATTTCATGTGATATATTTATCTAATCTGTGTTCCTTAAGTGTCTGTGGACATTGAAGGCTGGGGCACTCGAAAACTGGGAGCCTCATCTGCTTTGATCTCTACAGTTGGAGCATCTGAATGAGCCATTCTCTTAGGGAACCCCCGTGTCTAAGACTTTTCTTGTAGTTTTGTCAGTGGTCCAGGGAAGGTTCTCCTAATTCCTGACTGGAAGTTACACATCTAGTTGACATCATCCTTGGAGGCATGTGACTGAAAGGCTGGAAGTTTCATCGTCCACTGCGTTTAACTTAATCCTCCTAATTTCCACACAGCACATCATCATCCACTGTGCCTGGCATCCTCCTTCCAAGCATCCCCCCATCCAGAAAACATCCCTCCAGTTCTCTGCCACCGTCATGGGGAGGCAGGCTTTGGGATATAGCAGATAATCCTGAGAAAGAATGCTTCTTAAAATAGGCCTTTCAGTGAAACCTCCCAGTTTTGGCCCCACCTTCACCTCTGCTTCTTGAGTTACCGAGTTCTGTGGCTTCCTGAGCCCTTGCGTGTGCCACCTCGTGAACCAGGGCGTTTCTCAGCTTTCCGGGTGCCAGTGCAGGATTCGGCCATTGCAGGTCTGCCGAGCCCCACTACCCACCCTTCTGCTCTTCCGCTTCCTCAGCGTGATTGCTTTAGTCTCCGCTGACACGCCCCTTGGTTTTTGTTCTTGTATTCCTAAATAAGACAACATGAAATCGTACTCTTGTTTTTAGTGGGCTTTCGTGAGGGAGCACATTTACGTGAATGTGTTCAGTCTGCCATCGGTAGTGGGAAATCTTCCATTTTTCTTTTCACTGTTCTTTTTCTTTTTTTGATTATATGTAGTCGTTTAGTAGGTTTTTCTTAGTGACACTGCTTTTACATATACTTTCCTTTTTGCCACTAATACGAGGGCCTTGGAAGCAACTTTTAATCTCATCTGAAAGTCAACTTCAGTATTCATAGGAACTGAGTCATCATTTTAAAGATGAGTAGGAACTGCATTTCTTGAGTGCTTACTGTGTGCCCTCTCCTGCTGTAAGTGTGTTGTCAGGGTCATCTCATTCTATCCTCACATCTCTGTGCATTAGTTCCTGTTACACTCTCCAGTTTAAAGACAGACACTGAGACCAGAGGTTCAGCTACTTGCAGAAGGTCACCCCGTGGGAAGTGGCAAAGCTGGGCTTTCAACATAGGTTCTCTGATCCCACTGCTGCCAGGTAACCACCACCATCCCCACCAGACCCACCAGTCTTTCTGCTCTCATTCCTTCTTGCATCCTGGACCACTGTCCTACCTGAAGTACATCCTTCAGGTGGATTTCTCAGGGAACGCCTGCTGGAGGCAATTTTGTTGTCTGAAAATATCTTTATTTCACCTTCTTTATCGGAAGATGTTTTCATAGTGTGCGTATATAATCCTTGGTTGCAGTTCATTCTCTGTCAGCACAGTCAGGCTATAATCCCACTGTACTCCAGCTTCTTTTCCCCCTCCCACCGCACTGATCCAGAGCTGCCGTGCAGGGAGAGTTGTGTCCTGCTAGCAGGAACACATGTTTCCATAGAAGCATTATGTGATGTCACTGGTTCTGTTATCTGCTGCAGTGTCTTTGGGCTGAGAAGCCTGCTTAGCCTGGCATGAGTACCTAAGATGGGTACCTTGTCTCTGTTAAGAAATGTATCACATATTTTTAAAGCTGAGCGTAATTTTTAAATTAGGTCCTTTTTGGAATGACAATATATGCACATATAAAAATCCAAACGTGACAAAGGAATTGTGAGAAAAGGTCAATCTCTTCTCCATTGTATCCACGTCCCCCAGGCACTCTCCCATGAGGCAGCCATGGTCACTGTCTCTTGGATAGAGGTCACCTGTATAACTATAAGCATATATCCCCACTCCCAGGAAAGCATACTTTACACTGTTCTGTTCCTTGAATATATCTAAGAGATCATTCCTTATCAGCAGAGAGAGGGCTGCTTCAGCCTGTTTTAAATGGCCACAGAACTTTCCATTGTAATAGGCATACCAGCTGGGCACGGTGGCTCACGCCTCCTTTGGGAGGTCAAGGCAGGCAGATGGCTTGAGCTCTGGAGTTTGAGACCAGCCTGTGTAACGTGGCAAAACCACATCTCTGCAACAAAATATAAAAAATTAGTGGCCGGGCAGAGTGGCTCACGCCTGTAATCCCAGTACTTTGGGAGGCCGAGGCAGGTGGATCATGAAGTCAGGAATTCAAGACCAGCCTGGCCAACATGGTGAAACCCCGTCTCTACTAAAAATACAAAAATTAGCCAGGTGTGGTGGCAGGTGCCTGTAATCCCAGCTATTCGGGAGGCTGAGGCAGGAGAATCACTTGAACCTGGGAGGCAGAGGTTTCAGTGAGCCGAGGTCATGCCACTGCACTCCAGCCTGAGCAACAGAGTGAGACCCCGTCTCAAAAAAAATAAAAAAAAATAGGTGTATCACAGTCAACTCAATAATTCCATGTATAGGTTACTTCTAAGCTTTTCGGCAGTTGCTTTTATTTTTATTTTATTTATTTTGTGTTTTTGAGACAGAGTCTCACTCTGTTGCCCAGGCTGGAGTGCAGTGGCGCTATCTCGGCTCACTGCAAGCTCCACCTCCTGGGTTCACGCCATTCTCCTGCCTCGGCCTCCCAAGTAGCTGGGACTACAGATGCCCGCCACCATGCCCGGCTAATTTTTTATATTTTTAGTAGAGACGGGGTTTCACCGTGTCAGCCAGGATGGTCTCGATCTCCTGACCTTGTGATCTGCCCGCCTGGGCCTCCCAAAGTGCTGGGATTACAGGCATGAGCCACCGCGCCCGGCCAGCAGTTGGTTTTCACAATTAACTCTTGGAACGCTACCCATTCATAAACTGTGGGCTGCTGTAATGAGATAGATACTTTAATTTCCTTATACAATAAAGAAGCAAAGCAGAAATTCAGAACAGCTTGTCTGCAGTGAGATCGCATTTTAATGTATCTTTGTGGAGAACTGGAGTGAGCTGGGGAGCTATTTGGGTTTATCTTTCAAGATCATGAATATTACAAAATGACTTTATAGTATTTAGTTGGGACAAAAAGTACTTAAATATCAAAGGCATAGCATGAAAATAATAGGTAAATTTAGGCTTTGGGTTAACTTCAATCTAAATTTTGTCATAATGTGTTCCTGCTATTTTACATTTTTCACTATAAAAACTATAGTCTTTCATATCTCAAAGTTATAAGTTATAGGCTAGGCGCGGTGGCTCAGGCCTATAATCCCAGCACTTTGGGAAGCTGAGGCAGGCACATCACCTGAGGTCAGGAGTTCAAGACCAGCCAAGCAACACGATGAAACCCCATTTCTATTAAAAATACAAAAAAATTAGCCAGGCGCAGTGGCACGTGCTTGTAATCCCAGCTACTCGGAAGCAGTAGCAGGAGAATCGCTTGAACCCGGGAGGCAGAGGTTGCAGTGAGCCGAGATCACGCCACTTCCCTCCAGCCTTGGCAACAGAGTGAGACTCCATCTCAAAAAAAAAAAATTATAAGTTACAGACTTTTAAGTACCAGATTCCTCAAAAATGAGACACTATAAAGTTTTTTCTCAACATTGACTATTACACCAGTTTGCATTGTTTCCTGTAAGAAAATCTGAGCACTCAGACCTGTGTGTTTTTTAGTGAAGTAGTTGTTAACACTGTAATCTCTCTATTAAAGATGTTTCATGAGTGTGTTCATTTTGTCTCCTAGAGTCGCATGTGTGAGTGCCCCTAGTGTTTACCAGAAACTCAGAGAGCTGTGCAGAGAAAACTTTACTGTATATATCTTTGAATATGACAAAAGATTTGCCATGTATGGAGAGGAGTTTATTTTCTATGATTACAATAATCCATTGGACTTACCCGAAAGAATTGCTGCACATAGTTTTGACATCGTAATAGCAGATCCTCCCTATCTTTCGGAGGAATGTCTCAGAAAAACATCAGAAACCATCAAGTACCTGACACGGGGCAAGATTCTGCTGTGCACAGGTAGGTGCTGCATTTCATATCTCATGAAAGTCACTGACAGTGGCTATTCGGGTCTTAAGGGTCAAGAAGAAATCCTGAGTCCACCACCTCCTGTGTGACTTGTGAACAAGTTATTTAACTCTTTGTGCCCTGGATTCCTCACCTGTAAACTAGGACTGATAATACTCTGCCATTAAGGATCCTAAAGAATTAAGTGACACAAAGTACCCAACACCGGGTCTGATGCATGGTGACTGCTTGATGAACGCCAGCTGTTACTTTTACGTACCATTATCAGTAGTAGTGGTATTTTATCCAGCCTCTACACTTTATCAAAGAGAAATTTAGAATCTATAGAGTTTAAGTGAATTGCCTAAGGTTACAGAGTAGACATTAGATTGGGTTAATGTAGAAGATTTTTCCTACTGGTGAGATTGATATACCTTTTTTTTCTCTCTGTAACCTCAAACCACTGGGCTAAGCAGTCCTTCCACCTCAGCCTCCCAAGTAGCTGGGACTTACAGGTGTGTGCAACCAGGCTGGATTTGATATACTTAAGGCAGATACGGTAAAATTCAATAGAGTAAATCTGAGAACTTCAAGGTGGGAGGAAACCTTGGGGCAAGGAATTCTAGACCAGGCTGCACAACATAGCAAGACTCCATCTCTACAAAAATTTAAAAAATTAGGTGTGGTTATGTGGGCCTCCCAGCCATTTGGGAGATAGAGGTGGTGTGTCTGGAGTGTCTTCCTTCTGGTGGGTTCTTGGTCTCACTGACTTCAAGAATGAAACCGTGGACCTCGCGGTGAGTGTTACACTTCTTATAAGTGGCATTTCTGGTGTTTGTTCCTCGTGGTGGGGTGGTGCTCTCACTGATTTCAGAAATGAAGCCACAGACCCTCGTGGTGAGTGTTATAGCTCTTAAAGTTGGTACAGACCCAAAGAGTGAGCAGCAGCAAGCTTTATTCTGAAGAGCAAAATCAAAACTTCCATACCATGGAAGGGGACAACAGCTGGTTGTGCTGCTGGTTGGGGTGGCCAGCTTTTATTCCCTTGTTTGTCCCCACCCACATCCTGCTGATTGGTCCATTTTACAGAGTGCTGATTGGTCCATTTTACACAGTGCGGATTGGTCCATTTTACACAGTGCTGATTGGTGCGTTTACAATCCCTTAGCTAGACACAGAGTGCTGATTGGTGTGTTTTTACAGAGTGCTGATTGGTGCGTTTATAATCCTTTAGCTAGACAGAAAAGTTCTCCAAGTCCCCACTAGACCCAGGAAGTCCAGCTGGCTTCACCTCTCAGTGGGATGATTGCTTGATCTCTGGAGGTCCAGACTACAGTGAGCTGTGATGGTGCCACTACACTCTAGCCTGGGCACGGAGCAAGACTGTCTCAAAGAAAAAAAAAAAAATCTGAGAACTGAAACCTTACCAACTGACCCATCTCTTTACTTCTGGGCACCTGTGGTGTCCACACCCTTGAGTGCTGTTATGGACGCTATACCCCAGTCACTCTGGGCTGCGTTTGTACCCTGGGCACCCTGCTGGGAACAGGGCTGGGCCGGGAGTGGGGCCACGGGGAGCTGTTCGATGTTCTGGAGCTGGAGTGTGGGGAGGGGCGCCCTGTTCGCACAGATGCCACGGTTGCCTGCGCGCTTATTCACTTCATTGCTTCCTTGAACTCTGTGCACCGCTCTGTGTACCGGCAGGCAGCGCTCTGGACTCATGGAGTGTGCATTTTAGTTTCAAGGGATACTTTAAAAAAATAATAATAAAATAGACTAAAGACTGGAAGCACTAACCCTGAGAAGAGTAACAGAGACCCAGGCACCTGCACTTTGCCCCAGGGAGCTGAGGGGTCAGGAGCCACGGCCGCAGCTGCCCGGGAGGGCAGAGTCGGGGCAGGAGGCCCCCAGTGCCTAACAGAGGGGACCGTGGGCATTGGGGTTTTCTTCGGAAGCCCGAGGCGACGGGACGCAAATTGTCTGAAGACGTAAGACGTTCGCTTTAACTTGACCGAGGTTTTGGGGCGCGTGAACCTTGGCACCGCGGGCTGTTGCTGCACCCCAGGGAGGGCGGTGGCGTCAAAGAAATACTTTGAAGATGAAGTTGAGAGAGCTTGCTGTGTTCGAGTGTGGAGGAGAAAAGAGGAGAGGAGTCAGGGCTGTGGATGCCACCTCCTGCGGGGATGTCACAGGGTAGCTGGCTGTGTGCGGTGGGCCCAGGGCAGGGAGAAATTGGGAGGAGGTGGCAAAAGGGAGTGGGAATACATTCGCACCTGTGTTTGCAAGATTGGATATTACTGAAAAAGAGTCTTGGCTCAACGTTGGGAAATGCTAGTTTTTAGTAATTATTTTTGCTTTGCATATATATGTGTGTGTTTTGCACACATATATTAAATTGCAAAAATATTGGAGAAGGTGAAACGGAGTGTAAAGAAGACTCGCTCCCTCCCCCTACTTGTGAATTGTCAACTAATTGCCACCGGTGGTTCACCTAGAGCCCCTCTCACAGCTCAGGACACACTGAGCTCCGGCTGGGCTGTCACTCTCTGGATTCATTTGCTTTGTTCTCTTCAGGTGCCATCATGGAAGAACAGGCAGCAGAGCTCCTTGGAGTGAAGATGTGCACGTTTGTTCCAAAACACACCCGGAACTTGGCAAATGAGTTCCGCTGTTATGTGAATTATGATTCTGGGCTGGACTGTGGGATCTAATTACAGATGGTGACATAACACGGGAAGGAACCCTGTCACATTCCCCTTTTTGCATTTTCCTAGTAGATTTAAAATATATACTCTCTTCCCCTCCCCCCAAACTGGAGCCGACCTTGCCTGATTTTCAAAATAAAGTACATGACCTTCATTATTGTTTCCTTAGGGAGGGCCTGGCCTCACTAGAGCTCAGTCTTCTGCCAACCTGAATTCATGGAATTCGAGTTGGAAGAAACCTTAGAACCTGCGTGATGTACTCTCCTCGTCTAACATATGTCAAAACAGCAGAACAGTTGCGTGGCTTGCCCAAGGGCTCCTGAATGAGACAGGATCTTGGCCTCTGCCTTGGGCCAGAGCAGTCTGGTAGCATCCTAGGGCTTGTGAGGACCCCCACCCCCATGTCCCACCCCAGCCCTCCAAGGACACAGACTTGCCTCCATGAAAAAAGGCAATAATCCAATAACTAGCATCTGAATGCCTCTTGGAGCTCTCCTCCTCCAGGTTCTAGGTGGGCTGCGAGGGATGACAGGTGCCCAGGTGCCCTCCCCACATGGCTCAGACTCAGCACCCTCCCTCTGAACTGCCTGAGAAAATGAAAGATCCATTTGTAAACCAAACACCAGGACCAAAAAATGAAGCTGGGACGAGAGTGCTAGATTCTCAACTGTTCAGAAAATATGCCTCTGTGCATACCCCAGAGCACGTCTCAGCAATCAGAAGTGAACACGCAGCATGGCTGGGTCTCGAGGGCGTGATGCTGATGGAAGAGCTGCGCCGCACAGGCCACACACTGGATGATTCTAGGTATGACATTCCAGGGAGGAGAGATTCGTGGGTGCAGGGGGAGCATCAGGATGGGGCGAAGGGGATGGGTGGCCCACAAATGGGAGTTCTCCTTGCTGGTGGCGTGTTCTTTGTCTTGTCTGTGGTGGTGGCTTCATGAACGTGCCATGTGGCAGCATCGCATAGAACCACACAGAGATGAGCTCGTGTGAAACTGTTGAACTTGGAATGGGGTCTGTGGGTTGAGCCGGTGTCCATTTTCTGATTGTGACACTGCACTATAATTATGTAAGATGTTACCATTAGGTAAACTCGGTGTAGGGCATGAGACCTATCAGTATATTTTTGCAATTTCCTGGGAATCTACAATCATATCAAAATAAAAACTTTCCAAAAAATTAATGCCCTCTTTCTGGGAAAGGATTATACTTCCCCACCTGATAAGACTTGCTTTGGCCAACAAAATGTGAAAGATGGCCGGGTGCTGTGGCTGCTGTGGCTCGTGCCTGTAATCCCAGCACTTTGGGAGGCCAAGGAAGGCGGATCAGTTGAGTCCAAGAGTTCGAGACCAGCCTGGGCAACATGGTGAAACCTTGTCTCTACCAAAAATAAAAAAAAATTAAAAAATTAGCTGGGCATGGTGGCACACTTCTGTAGTCCCAGCCACTTGAGAGGCTGAGGTGGGAGGATCACCTGAGCCCCAGAGGGCGAGGCTGCCGTGAACCGTGATGCACTACTGCACTCCAGCCTGAATGACAGAGCCAGACCCTGTCTCAAAAACAAAAACAAAAAAACCCCAAAATGTGAAAGGAAGTGATGTGACATTTCCAGCCTCTGGCTGTGAGTGGAGCAGGGCCACCGCCCACCTGCCAGGGATGCGAGGAGAACCAGGAATGAGCCTGTGTCATAGAACCATGGGCTTATTACCCACTAGAGCAAAACCCAATCTGTCGTGACCAAGCCAGAGAGGAGGCCTGGGTCAGGGAAGCCTGGAGGACAGGCCTGGTCTTTTTTGCTGCTGCTTAGCCCTCAGCTGCCCGACTTCTGGACAACATTTAATTTACTTTAAAAATCACTCTTTTCAGTGTGGTGGCTCACACCTGAAATCCCAGCACTCTGGGAGGCCGAGGCAGGTGTATTACCTGAGGTCAGGAGTTAAAGACCAGCCTGGTCAACATGATGAAACCGCGTCTCTACTAAAAACACAAAAATTAGTTGGGCATGGTGGCGGGCGCCTGTAATCCCATCTATTCAGGAGGCTGAGGCAGGAGAATCACTTGAACCTCGGAGGCAGAGGTTGCAGTGAGCTGAGATGGTGCCATTGCACTCCAGCCTGGGTGACGAACAAAACTCGATCTCAAAAAAAAAATCACTCTTTTTATGAGACATTGGTATTTTTATCACTGTACAGGCACCTGGCCTTTGTTAAGTATTCAATAAGTGTTCTTTAAAAAATAACCCCTACCTTATTATTTCCATATGTAGTTTGCTCTGTGTGTAATTTGTTACATTGTAGTAACAAACTATGTACAGAAATGCAATGTTTAACTTAGGAACTGTGGGAGAGTAGTAGTCTAGAAATAACAGAATTGTAGTTGTCCTATAAATCCAGCGTTTAGTTGAAGAGAAACCTTATTTTTTCACAGGAGGTGAGGGAGAGAAGGGACAAAGTTGGATTCCTATCAAAAAATGTACAAACATTGTAAGTTAGGAGGCTTATGAAATGAAGTGACAGCATTTTTTGTTTAATAAGCAGCCAACATGTTTCATGGCTTTGGACCCTGGTGTGATTTTGATTTTAGCAAATCTGTGTTCATATATAATCCACTTCTAGGTTTCATAAAAGGCCATCTATACCTCTGCAACCTTATATTTAAAAAAACTCATTAGGCCTGGTATGTTCCTTTGGGCGGTTAATTAGGTGGGAGGCGTTGGGCTGGGTGATGCCCACAGTTGTCATGCCATCTGGAATCCCCAAGGCTCCCTCACCGCCTGTACCTTAGCAAAGCACTGCAGAGGTTAAAAGGAATGTTTTTAATCCACATCTTTTTAAGTCCTTCCTGATTCGTGGGAAGGGTAGAAGAATAATTTCTGTTTTGCTAACAAAATTCCAGCACTTCTCAGAAACTCTTCAGATGTGTGTCTGGGGTGATGAGGGCCTGAACGGCAAGAACAGATGAAAGGCAGTGGGAACTTGAAGACCACATTTCAGATGGGGCTTCTGTACTCCTCCTTTCATTCCTTCCTAAAATCAGAGCTGGCACCAGTTACTAAAAATGACCATTTCCCCCCTTTGCCCTGCTGGAAGAGATGCGGTAAGACATAATGAGATAACTGGCCCCTGACTGTGGAACTGTTGGTATTTGCAGAGTGTTTTTGGATTTCTGTTCCCAAATGATTCCATTTTTGTAGAACAAGTATATAATTGAAATACTGTCACTTGGAAACGATCTTCAGGAACCAGCAAAGCACCTCCATTCCAAAGGCTGCCACAGAATCCTCCAGGTAGAATTCATGTGAAGGAAACATGCACTTTTCTGGGAGGAGGGGAAGAAGCTCTGAAATGTGCAATATCATGTGTTGCCCCCCCCCACAAATCCTGGGAATGAAAGGCATGGAGGGAAATGTGTGAAATAAATCAAGTGGATCTGGGAGTAGGGAGGGAGATGTCACTGAACTTTGGCTGGCACAATTTATCTAGCCAGTAAACTTCCTTATTTGTTTGATAAAACACAATACCAACCTCCCATCTCTGCAACAACCCCCCACCAAAAAAAACCCTTCAGTTTTAGCAAGAGAAAAAAATTTTGTCCCAAAAAGATCTTGTTTTGAAACAGTACCTTCCCAAGCTTAGCCACCACCTCTAATTTCAACATATTATATTTAAAAGCTGCTGCCCAGTTAAAGTTCTACACTTTGTTTTATTTCTTTATTATTTTGTCAGGTTTTTTTGTTTGTTTGTTTGTTTGCTTGTTTTGTTTTGAGACAGAATCTTGCTCTGTCACCCAGACTGGAGTGCAGTGCCACGATCTCAGCTCACTGCAACCTCTGCCTCCCTGGTTCAAGCAAGTCTCCTGTCTCAGCCTCCTGAGTAGCTGGGACTACAGGCACCCAGCACCGTGCCAGCTAATTTTTGTATTTTTAGTAGAGACAGGGTTTCACCATCTTGGCCAGGCTGGTCTTGAACTCTTGACCTCGTGATCCCCCCGCCTTGGCCTCCCAAAGTGCTGGGATTACAGGTGTGAGCCACCGCATCCAGCCTTTTTTTTTTTTTTTTTTAATTGAGATGGAGTTTCACTCTTGTTTTCCAGGCTGCAGTGCAATGGCGTGATCTTGGCTCACCACAACCTCCGCCTCCTAGGTTCAAGTGATTCTCCTGCCTCAGCCTCCTGAGTAGCTGGGATTACAGTTGCGCACCACCATGTCCAGCTAATTTTTTTGTATTTTTAGTAGAGATGGGGTTTCACCATGCTGGTCAGGCTGGTCTCCAACTCCTGACCACAGGTGATCCACCTACCTCAGCCTCCCAAAGTGCTGGGGTTATAGGTGTAAGCCACCCTGTATTGAAGCACCCGACCCAGTGATTTCATTTTAAACTTATCTTTTGTACAAAAAAAGTGTACAGACTGTCACTTACAATCTGTCACTTGTAAGTGACAGATGCCTCCTAAAGCGACATAACATGGAGAAGGCTTAGCTTGATGTTTATTTTCAGTGTGGCTTATAAATGACTGCAATGATGCGTCCATGTCCACACATGTGTTCATGTGTGCCAGGCACTGTGCCAGGTACTTTGCTAACAGTGTTGAGTCCTCACAGGGTGGGCGCTGTGACCTCATTTCACACGGAAGGAAAATGAAGCGTAGTGGGGCGAAGGGAGCAGGTTCATAGAGTGGCACCCAGGCGCGAGGTGCTTGAGCAGCTTTGTGGTTTCATCATTTTAGTGGACGAGGGAGATTGTCTTGCTCACCACCGCCTTGCAGGAGCTAGTGACTGGAACCAGGCAGGTGCCCAGTAGATGGTCACTAAGTGGATGAATGTATAGTACAGAGAAAAAACACAGAGGCTGCCTTTCTCGATCTTCAAATGGAAAGCTCATTTCTCCTGTTGGGAATGTGCTACCTTTTAGCAAGCGGAGGGTAAACGAATAATTAATGCAGTGAATAAAATCATGACATTTTCCCCACAGAGAGTTTCCTCTCCTTGGGTGCCCTTCCTCCAAGGCTTGCACTATTTATATTTGAAGAGTGACCTGGAAAGTGTTACACGACAGCAGTGATAATGGAAAAAACACCTAAGTCGCTGCTTTAAAAGGCAGTTCTGGGCCAGGCGTGGTGGCTCATGCCTGTAATCCCAGCACTTTGGGAGACCGAGGCAGGCGGATCACGAGGTCAGGAGATTGAGACCATCCTAACACAATGAAACCCCGTCTCTACTAAAAATACAAAAAATTAGCCGGGCATGGTGGCGGCACCTGTAGCCCCAGCTACTCGGGAGGCTGAGGCAGGAGAATGGCGTGAACCTGGGAGGTGGAGCTTGCAGTGAGCTGAGATTGCACCACTGCACTCCAGCCTGGGCAACAGAGAGAGTCTCTGACTCAAAAAAAAAAAAAAAGCACTTCTTTTTACTGAGTGGATTTGTGCTGTTGCTCTGGACCTTCTGGTTGCTGGACAGGAATGTGTTGTAGACACACCACCACCAGAGGATCCCGTTCTTCCCCCAGAGGTTGAATGGGAAGTACAGTCTGGAACTATCCATAGCTGCTGCTTTCCAGTTTGAATTTTGTATTTGGACAAAAGTGTGGATTTGCTCAGTGATGTGTCTTTCATGCACAATTTCTGTCAATTCTAGTGGGAGCTGGAAGTCTCTGAGCGACCCATCCATCTGGATCAGACTAAGGCTGCCAGTTAGTCTTTCTGTGGTAGCTGAAGTTTGGGAGTGAAACGCATGTGAATAAAGGACACTTCCTGGTTTTGGGGGTGTCACAAAGATCCAAGACATTGGCCTTACCTGACTGGTGGATCTTTCTAAGACCAAATCAAATCTCTATGAATTTAAACCTCAAGATAAAGCGAAGACCTTAGGTAACACATGATTTCCTCTAACAATTAGTCTGGCCCATCAAGCAGAATTGAGAGAAATACACACAGCCAGTGTATCCTTTAGCAAGACTCTTTTAATGACTTAAAAAGAACTTCTACCTTTTACAAATAATTGTGTTCAGAGACAGACTTTCAATCTAAAGAAAAGAGCAAGGACCTAGCTCTCGTGGCAGAATGTAGAAACAGAAGCCTCCAGAGTGATCCCTGCAGATTCTAACGTGGTCCACCTTGTCCTCATATTCGGCCTGATCCTAAAGCTCTTACAACTAAGCCAATACCTGCTTGGATTCTTCCTGACAACTGGCAAAGATGTCACATTCCACTTCTTATCTCACCACCTCTTAACCACAAATTGGCCCCAGGGGCTTTCAAAAGGGAAAAAAAAATTGTACAAGTTTGAGACTGTTTCTGTACTCATGACTCATAAAACCAACTCTGAGATCTCTGGAACTCTTAGCTGGCCCTGGGGCATGCGAGCCGCCTGTGCATCCCTTTGTCCACCTGGAGGCCGGTGAAGACCTTCAGTGGAAGGAAGAGTGCGTCAGATCAGACATGTCCATTTTATCAGTCTGCCGTCGGTGACAGGCTGGATTCAGAGACCCAGGCCAGAGTGTGCCAGCTAAAAAATTTATCCAAGGATTCCAATTATGCTTTTAAAAAAAAAAAATCCGACCAGAAGAAGTAAAAAAAAAAAAGTTTATATGTTAAGTAAGAAATGTTAACAGAGTAGCTCTAATTTGCTAATATAAAATAGCTCTGCCTCTATTCAAAACAGTTGATTTTAAAAGTAAGTATATAGTCGCTCTACTTATTATTATTTTAGATGGCTTTAAAAAGCATATGCGTCCCTATCTCTTTGGCAAGCACCCAGCGGTGAGGCACGCCCTGTACCCGCCGCAGCCGGCCTGGGAGGCTCCTCCGTGCACTTCTCCAAACCCTCCGTGCGGGCCGCACACAGGTGGCCGTGCCGGGTCGTCTCCCATAAGCTTCCAGCCACCCTGCTTGCCTGTGGCTAAGAGCAACCAGAGATGCCCGTGTCAGAGGAGTCTCCGTGCAAAGGCGGCGCCGATGCTCGCGCTTGGTTGCTCGGTGCGCGCTCTTCAGAGGTCGCCGACCGAGCCCTCCAGACCGCTCCAGCCTGGGCGCCTCGGGACGCGGGCAGGGAGACCTCCCGGGGCAGGACCGGCCTCAGGGGCCAGCGGGCGCGTCGTTGGGGCCCAGCAGGAGCTTGGCGCCCGGTTTGTCGATGCTGGAGTTGATGCTGTCTGCGTCCTTCTCCGGCTCGGGGACGCAGGTGCAGCCCACGGGGATGGTGACGTAGGCCTCGGTGTAGACTGACCGGCCGCCGGCGCAGGCGGGGGTGCGGCGCAGCACCACGGTGGGCATGTAGACCGGGGCGCTGCGGAAGCGCACGTCCTCCTCGCCGAACAGCCCGGTCAGGCAGCCCCGGCACAGGCAGTAGGCTTCGGGCAGGTACCTGGGGTACCTCGCCGGGTCGTAGGAGATTCTGCAGGGAGAGAGCACGGGTGAGGTCACGCCTGGGGGCAGCCCCGCGCCGCGCACGGAGATCCCTGGTTGGAGGCACCGGGGAGGGCCTCGGGACGGTGCTGCCCTCGGCCTGCGGGCGCGTGCATGCGAGGCCGGCCGAAAACGGATCTGCCCAGCGCTTCCTTACATTTGAAATGACGGCGCATCTAACCGGCCCTGAGGCAGGCCGGAAAACTGCTTCCAGAGACTGGACTAATGTGCGCAGAAAAATAAAACCCAGGCGGCCTGCACGGGCCCACAGGTGCCACCAGAACAGAATGAGGCGCCCTGTCTGCCCAGGGCCCCGGAGGCGCTGCCTCCCGCCGGCTCTGCAGACCCCGAGGGGCACGTCCACCTGGGGCCTAGGCTGGGGGCAGGTAGGGCGGGTTTCAAGGACAGGCTTGGGGCAGGCCTAGAAAAAGAGGGGCTGGGGGAGGACAGTGCTGACTGGCCGGGAGCCAGAGGCCTGCAGGGCTCTCACGGGAGTGAAGGACAAGCGCTTTCTCCATCAGGGAGATTTGGTGCCGAGTGCCAGCTCTCAGTGGTCTATGAAGGTCGGGGGCTCAGGAAGGCATAGGATTCTCTTCTTCCGTTTGTGTCTGAGGGACTAGAGCACGCCTGGGAGGTGACGAGTCTGGGAGTGGTGTGTTGTCGTCACTGGAAGTGGATCCAGTGCCACCTTCGTGCCAGGACCTAAGGAGGGAGTCTGCGGCGGGGGAAAGGGGAGTGGACTGGTGTAGGAAGAGCACAAGGCCGCCCGCCAGGCTGCCATCAGAGGAAGTTGGTGACACAGGACTGCACCCAGCCACCTCTTGTGCTTGTGGAACCCCAGAGGGACATTTCCAAGCACTAGGCCACTGTTTGAATGTGGGGGATGAGGTCGGACAGAAAGTCAGCAATGAGTCCAAGGCTTCCAGTCAGGGTGACCAGAGGATGGGGCAGCACAAGGATCAGGAGCTTGGCCAGGTGGCCTTGCTGACAGTGGAGCCCCAGAGGTGGGAGCCCAGGTGAAGGCATTGGAGAGGGCAGTGGGGACCGCCTGCAAAATGCACAAGTTGTCTCTGAAGCAAAAACACAAAACACAATCTGACTTCATTTATTCATGCTTCCCTCCAACATACACCCAAATAGTTGCAGAATGTTTTTCACAGGTCTCATACCACTGCACTCCAGCCTGGGTCAGAGTGAGACCTGTCACCCAGGCTGGAGTGCAGTGGCATAATCATGGCTCACTGCAGCCTTGACCTCCCCGGCTCAAGTGATCCTCCCACCTCAGCCTCCCAAGTAGCTGCGACTACAGGCGCACACCACCATGTCCAGCTAATTTTTTTTTTCTAGTTTTTGTAGAGAGGGAGCCTCACTGTGTTCCCCAGGCTGGAAGAAATTCTTTTTCAGCTCCTCATGGCTGCTGTTTCTTCAGTTCTGTAGCTGGAGGCCTCTAAGGCACAACAGCGTGACCCACACCAGGATGGATGAAGCCATCCTCTCCCTCTGGCATCCCACATTCCAGGCACCTCAAAGTGGAAGGCCCCTTACAGGCCCCACAGTCAAGATGCCGCCTTCTCCAAGCCACTGTCAACTCCATGAAGTCTTCCTATATTTTAAGGTCCAATTCATTATCTTAAGAGTTTTCAGATGTCCTCAAATTCAACTCCTTCCTTCTCCATGTGTTCATAACCTGTGAACACCACACAATCCTAGTCTGCCCTGCTCAGGAAGGGTAAGGACTGAGTTGTGATTTCTCTTGGTGCCCTGATGTGCCTGTCACAGCGCCTTCTAGAGGAGGAGCTCCGGAGCCAGGAAGCAGGCGAAGCTGACCCTGGGCCCTATCAGCTTCCTATTCTTTTTTTGTTTTGTTTTTTGAGATGGAGTTTCGCTTTTGTTGCCCAGGCTGGAGTGCAATGGCGCGATCTCGGCTCACCACAACCTCCGCCTCCCAGGTTCAAGCGATTCTCCTGCCTCGGCCTCCCAAGTAGCTGAGATTATAGGCATGTGCCACCATGCCCGGCTAATTTTGTATTTTTAGTACAGATGGGGTTTCTCCAAGCTGGTCAGGCTGGTCTTGAACTCCCGACCTCAGTTGATCTGCCCACTTCGGCCTCCCAAAGTGCTGGGATTATAGGCATGAGCCACCACATCCGGCCAAGCTTCCTGTTCTTACACCCTGAGGTCGGTATAAGACCCTGACTTAATGTTAGAAGGAAAAGGAAATCCTAAATAGTTAGGATTTGTAATATCTCCAATCACTTTCAGCATTTATCTAACAAGTATCTGAGTGTTCTTTCAGGCAATGGGGCTAGAGATGAAACGTGTACCCAAGGACTCACTCTCTGGAGATAAACATGTAGGTGAACACAGAGTGCGCTCACTCCGCCCATGGCCACCGGTGGCTCCTGGGGGATTTATCCAGGTGAAGAAGGGAGAAGGGCATGGCAGGCAGAGGTCAAAGCACAGGGTCAAGGGACAATCACCACCAGGAAGTACAAGGAGAAAGAGTGCCCCTCAGATGGAATTTTAGAAAGATCCCTCAGACTATGGGGTGGAAGATGGTCTGGAGCCCCAGAGGGAGCTCTTGGCTAAAGGCAGAGTTTTAAGTTGTCCATTGATAGATGGTGGTTAAATAAGATAATCTCGGGGGGCACATGGAGGGAGAACAAATAGAGGCAGAGGAGAGCAGAGTACACCAGCTTCCCAGGGAGAAGGCTGATGGTGAAGACTGGGTGCATCCTCGGTCCATGAAGGGGAGAGGCTTGAGGGGGCTGGGTCAAACCTGAACTTGAACCTGATGGAGCCAAGCTACCAGAAATAGAGAGAAATGACACTATGAGGACGTGACCAACAAAGGACAGAATGTAGGAAACTTGATAATGTCCCGTGTTGTTCCGGGAGAAAAACAAGAGGGAGGGAACCTACACTTGAGAGCCCCGAGTAGAGGAACACAAGCTGGGGGTGTCCTGGCTGGGCCCACACCTGCCATCCTGGCACAGCGACATGAAGCCAGCCGCTTCCACTCCCAGTATCACCACCAGCACAATCAGTTATCAAACACATGCAACCCAGACTCAGGGACATTCCACAAAACCAGTGGCCACTAGAGGTTGGATCCCAGGGCAGAAAGGGGCATTTGTGGACCCCCTAAAGAAGGCCTGCGGGGCAGATAACAGTGTCATGTCTGTTCATTTCCTGATCTTGAGCATTTTGCTGAGTGATGATGCTGACATTTGGGGAACCCAGGTAAACAGTATATGGGAACTCGTCCTAATTTCACAACAGTTGTATTAGTTTGAAATGATTTCAAAATGAAGTATTAGAAAATAGAGAAAATCATGTATGGGACAATCACAGAAATTTGTGAACACGAGTATGAGCATGTGTGTGAATGTGACAGGTGTGTGGGTGTGTGGGCAGGTGTGTGTGAGCGTGGGTAGGTGGGTGTGGGCAGGTGTGAGTGTGGGAAGCTGTGAGCATGGGCAGGTGTGTGGGCAGGTGTGTGAGCACGGGCATGTGTATGAGAATGGGCTGGTGTGTGTGTGGGTGTGTCAGTGTGGGCAGGTGTGGGTGGGTGTAGGAAGGTGTGTGTGGGTGTGTGGGTAGGTGTGTGTGGGTGAGTGTGGGCATCTGTGAGTGTGGGCAGGTGTTAAGTGTGGGCAGGTGTGTGTGGGCAGGTGTGTGTGAGCATGGGCATGTGTAAGTGTGTGAGCGTGGGCATCTGTGAGCGTGGGCAGGCATGTGTTAGTGTGGACAGGTGTGTGATCGTGGGCAAGTGTGGGTGAGTGTGGGGAGGTGTGCGAGCATGGGCAGGTGTGAGCATGGGCAGTTGTGTGTGTGGGGGCAGGTGTGGGGGGCAGATGTGTGAGCGTGGGCGTGTGTGTGAGCATTGGCAGGTGTGTGTGGGTGTTAGCGTGGGCATATGTGTGTGGGTGTGTGAGTGGGCAGGTGTGTGAGCATGGGCATCTGAGAGTGGGCAGGTGTGAGTGTGGGCAGGTGTGTGTGGGTGTGTGAGCGTGGGCGGGTGTGTAAGTATGGGCAGGTGTGCGTGAGCATGGGCGTGTGTGTAAGCATGGACAGGTGTGTGTGTACTCACACGCACATGGCATGCAACAGGCTGGAGCCGTGGTGAGCTATTTCGGAGGTGCACAGGGGCCCGAAGACCACAGCAGTTAGTCTGGATGTGATCTTGCTCCTGGAAACTCATGAAGGGCACTGGGCAGCTGCACACACGTGAGATGTGGGTTTGGAAAGGCTGTCAGAACAGCACAGAGGATGTGCCGCAGGAAAACCAAAGGCGGGCGGGTCAGGGCATTTCTCTGGGGACTCAGTCTCTTCACCGGTGGGGTGAGTTTGATCTGAGGGCATTGCCTGGCCCTCTGAGTTCTCGTCACCTGGGAATGGTCTTTCCGTGCCCTCGGTATGTAGGTAACTGCTCATATTTCACCATCGTTTGGGTTCTTCATGAACAACTGTCACTCAGGCATCACCCCCGGTAGTTTTGTAGGTGATAACTGACAGTCGCTTGGATGCGGTGAGGGTCAGAGTTTCATCCGCCTAAAAATATACAGCGCAGCCCTCCAGTGGACTTGGGACTGAAATTGCCGCCACCGCTGGGATGCCTCTGGACTAAGGCCTCTGACAAGACACCTCCCCCGATGGCTGCCTGGGCCGTGGGAGATCAGAGGTACAAACAGGGGCGGGTTTCAGGCTGTTCTCTCACAATGGGAAGGTGCCACTAAGGGGGGTGCCATGCATCTACCATGCCCTGCTGCCCAGGGTGTGGGGGCATGAGGCCTGCAGTCCCAGAAAAGCAGAGAGACAAGGCCTGCACCTTTGGAAGGACCCAGCGGGGGCCTGGGAAAGAGGTCATGAGAGAAGCCTGGGGCCCTCGCTGGCACAGACAGAGAGTTGAAGTCCCTCACCCCAGCCTCCTGCCTGGGGTCTGGGGACACCAACAGCTAGGTGTGCTTTTTGGTTAAGGAAAGCTGC